CGGTTGCAGACCGGTTACGAAGAATTAACGGTTAACCGATAAAGATAACGGTTACGCAGTAACTATTTGTTACTTTTCAGTCAATTTTTCAAGTATCAGGTCGTTGCAAAGTGTGCACTTTCGCGGGCTGTCGCACGCGTACGCAATTTCTGGGCTGTCAACTCGGTCATATCTGGTCTCTTGGTGTGAGAGTATGTACATGTATGAATGAGCATGCAAGAGAATGTACAAGTGTGCGTTGTACTGAATAGGGTACATTTTTTGAATGAGTATAGTCAAATATATGGTTAAAAAAGAGTCCGCAGGATTGCCGTGGCTTATAGGTTATAACCGGTTAACCGACCGTTAGCTTAGCAGTTAACCGTCAGGGGTAAAACCGTGACCGTTTGAGCCCTAGTGCTGGCCATGCAGCCGTGGATAAGCGATACACACATTTTATGTGCTACAGCGCGCTGTTCCCATCGGATCAAAATGTGCACTGCATGCAATTACTGATGAGTGATGTAGCAATGATGCATGCCACAGACTGTGTCAGTGACCTGGTACATGGTGACCAGTGCTGGTGAGGTTAGGCTTGGCACATGCACAGTGACACAAGTCCCCATAAGCTCATTGCGTAATCCCATATTTGGGAGACATGATGTAATCGCGTTCCGTGGCATGGCAAAGTGCCGAGTTGTGGGCAAAGTAAGCATGCAATATCGTCTTCTGGACGGGCCTTGACAACAATTTTGATATTCTTGAGCAAGCTGTCTTCTCAGCGTGTGTTTTGTGCAATTACCAACCCACATTGGTTGCTACCTGATAATGGTCTCGATGTAAATACAATTTTCACACCTTCATTCATAAATCGCCCTGTCCTGTTTAACAATGTACATAAATAAGTAACATAATTATGTAAATAAGCGAACATCTTATTATTATCACAGATAACGGTGGTGTTCCCAGAAACTTTATTATTTAGGTGCAGCTTAGCACTGTGCACATTATTCTTTCTATTTGCTGTGTTGAGAGCGTTGTGATTACTCTGTTGTTCTTTCTTGTTTTGGCACCACCCCGCACCCTTGACCATTATTGTATTTCGTCACCAACGGTGTTCTAAGCTGCCATTCCTTTTACTAGTGCTTCCTGTTGGCACATCCAATAAACCAGTCCTTTATCCCGCCAGTACTCAGACGCCTACTAATCGTGTTCAGTACTCCACGAGTATAAACAGTGTATTAATTTTTATGATTGAATGGAAAAACAATCACTTTGAAAAAAGATTGTGAGTTCTCGAAGTGTGCTATGGTGAATTAACTAGGAAAAGAAGGTTCCAAAGAAGTCCAGTGTTGACATTAAGAATAACATCACATTAGAGCAGCATGAATGGCCGGAAGGTGATGCGAGAAATAAAATTTCTCCAGTCGGGGCAGAAACTCCTTCACAAGGGAAGGATCAACAGCGACAGTTTCCACAAACAGACCATCTGGAAACCACATGACAAAGTCGGCAGCCTCCACACCGCAAACAAACATCTGCGTTTGAACTTGGTAGTAGTAGGTGTGCGTTCGCTTGAGGACCAAATTGCCATCAACATCCGTCAAGCATGAAGTCCGCCGTCCAGCAAACTCACGAAGCGACATACCATTCCGCATGGTGAAAGGACACTTGATTTCCACCACACGCTGCAGTTTGCCATTGACCATGACGAGACCATCAGGCGAAGCACTAAGCCATGGTTTGGTTGGATGGATGAAAAGGCCACAGGATTCGACGACAACAGGAACATCCGAAGTCTGTGCACGTGTGATGTAGGCTTTGACAGCATCACGTTCATGCGCTAAGCCATACTTCATAGCCGCTGTAGGATGCTGCGGTGGAGCCAATTTCCTGTTGATGATGGTGGAGAAATCATCACTTCGTCGGCTTGCAATGCTCTTAACAAGTGTGGCAGTCACTCGTAGTCACCGCTCATTGTACCAGGAGAGGTTAGCTGACTGTCCCTTCGTCTCCCTTGCAATTTCAGCTGCACGGGCACTGGACACAGCAACACGGTGTTCATAAAAATCAGCAGGTGATTCCGGATCAATAGCGACCATAGGCACAGGCGCCTCACAAGAAGACTCTAGTACACCCATCTGGCGCTCATTGTCTGACTCACTGCTGCTGCCCTCGTCACATTCCGAGTCATCTGAGCTTGGGACAGGAGAAGGTTCAAGTAGCTTTAGCCAACATGAGCTGCCATACATCTTGATCTTTCCCGATTTGTCCTCTGCCAGAGCCTTCTCCTCAACGCGCTCCAAGTCATTACGCAGCCTGGCAACTGCCTCAGGGTTGACAAATCTGCGGTTTGTAGGCATGGGGTCATAAAACGGGATGCTCTTTTTCTTTTCTCCAAGATCTCTGCCTGAATACGTGTCCTTCTTCAGGTGGACTTCCGTTACTCTGCTGGCCTTGACGTGTGCTGCTCGGGGATGATTCCATTGCATAAGTTTCTCAGTACAAGTTTTGGCTGCCTCTTCACGCAGGCCAAGCCTTACAAAGTCCTCCAATGCATATAATAGGCCTGCTATGTGGATACAGGAAGCAGCTAACCCAGCAGGGCATGTGCAGTAGGCAGTGAGAACCGTAGGGACATGTGACGCACCGCCAGCAGTGCAGCATATCCGAACGTTGTATTTCCTGTCCTTACGGAAAGAGGGCAGGACGACGCAGCGTACAAAACAGAATTGTGGAAAGACAGGCAGTGAATTGAACTGGATCTTCTGGATGTGGCCTGACTTGAAGAACCTGAACCCTTTGTCTATTCCACGGAACGAGTTGTACTTATCTGTGCCTGAATCACGTGGAAAGACAGGCAGTGAATTGAACTGGATCTTCTTGATGTGGCCTGACTTGAAGAACCTGAACCCTTTGTCTATTCCACGGAACGAGTTGTACTTGGCTGTGCCTGAATCACCATCCTCCTCGTCATCCTCCCATTCGTCATCAACTTCAGCAGGGACAGCACTATCAGCAGCTACAGCACTATCAGCTGGGACATCAACTTCAGCAGGGACAGCACCATCAGCAGCTTAGCACTACTATCAGCAATTCAGGTTTCGTTCCCGATCGACGAGCATTACGGCAAGCTAGCCAACGCTTCAATTCTTTCACGGAAAGTTGACTTCCAAGCGTTGAGAGCCATCAGTATTCCGACCTAACGATGCTCCAGGCACATCGTCCTCGGAGAGCTTCACAGCCTGTGCCTCCATCTCCGACAAACAAAAGACTACGAAAGGTTTTCCTTGCAGAAGCTGACATTACAAATACAAGGCCGAGATTTGCTTCTGCCCACAACTCGGCACTTTCCAGGTTGGTCGCGTACGCATGACATCATTACGCAATGGGCCTATGCGGATATGCAGGCGCCGTGAGCTGCGGAATTACACACCATGCTTCCACTCTGCGGAAACCAGTTCACGTGAGCTCAGTGGCTACAAATCTGACCGCACCGTCTGAGATGGCTAGCTGAGAACAGCAACTAGGGTGTTTGTGCTCTTGGTGTCCTCTGTATACATGACGTGTATAAGGCACTGGGTGAAATGGTTGGAAAGCTGGCATACATGGTGATAACGCAGTCAGTGTGGCGGAATTGTGCCTACATGACAAGCACAGCATGCTTGATGCCAATGATGGTTTGCCCTCTACACGTCATTACATGTACATACGTACGTAGGAAAGCGTGGTCAACCCTTGGCACACAAAGGGTTCAAGCCAAAGTCTGAGATCACTACACTACAGGAGTCTAGGTGTACATGTGGATGCAAACATGTAACACACCCTTCTTTGTTTTTAGTACTAATGCCTGCAGTAATGGCCAAACAGGCAGTATTCCCTGGGCCAAGCTTGCCACGTTCACACGTGTGGCGCTGGATGGCATGCTGGACATGGTTCGCCCTGGTGGGTAGATATACAGACAGCCAGTGCTGAGTGGAGGCAGGATGGGATTCTGAGATCTTATGCTCAACAAACACAATACTGTACCAGCAAGAGCAACGTTACATCACCCGACTCCTGATACTGTACCAGGCAGCTCCTGGGGCTTACATACCAGTAAGAGTACAATGTACACAGGCCGAATCTTGATACCACCGAGGTTTACCGTGGGCCATGATCGCCCAATATGATGTTGTCTTGAGGCTGCATGTACATGACGCGCCACCGAGTAGTCCATGATGTTGTGGCTCTACCAGGGAATAGCGTTACATGTACATGTACTAGTACTAATAATGTAGGGTGTCATAGTCCGTTGCTTCAGTGTTACGGTTTACTATAATTGGTATGAAGTCGACGCACACGCGAGTAGCTGGACACTCTACTCTATTTGTAGATGAGGAAGTATCCGATCACTAACTGACTTCAACATTAACTATAACATTGTACTGTAGTCTGTAGTAACATCATTGTGTCAGTACGCGTAGATCTACTCCGTGTCACTGCCAGAGATATGGCAGATCCGAGAGCAAGCCCAAGTCTGCAGAAACACCTTAGCGACCTCACCATCAAAATTGAATGCAGAAGTTACTTGATAGTGATGGGTGCATTCGTTGCAGTGCGGTGACGAGGGGCTAGGCAGAAGTATAGTGCATTTATACGTTTATAGCATAGAGTCGTATACGACTCCCTGATTTATACTAATCACAGTGCATACATGTACATGAATGATGCAGCATAGACTAGGAATTACTGGTAGACGACGGGCACCCATGCCCCTACCCCTGGCCCTGCCCTGGCTGGAGGGCGTGACGGTTGACCTGGAATTCGCTACTTTGTAGATCTACCTGTGGATCCTGACTGTGTAGTCTACCTTTACACTGCTGGAGATGTAGCAGCAGTGACCCAGGCAGCCTTCTGAACAGGCTGTAACTACTGCTGGTGGTGGCTTCTCACGAATCGTACAGGGAACAGCATCTACATGTTGCTGCTTTGCTGCTTGCGACCTCATGAATGCCAACGTTGCAACATAGCCCTCCACTCCAGTCGTTCAGCATTGTCGTCGTAGAGATGTGACGAACTACTTACTTCCTCTGACTTCGTGATGCCAGTGTTGTTCTAGTTTTAGTTGACCTGGTGTGGTGTGGTGTGGTGTGGTCACTAACTAGCAGTTCACTTCGTTCCGTTCCTGACCAACTGGTAACCAGCTGCTACCAGACGCCTGGACGTCAAGCAAGCAAAGACTGAAAGAAAGCTTGCTACCGATACTACTCCGGCGTATGAAGAGGACTTTTGGACCTACTGCTGGGGCATTCTGAACCTAGATACAGCTGGCTCTGGTGCTGCTGCTTCTCTCTACACTGTCAGTCCAGTCCAAGTCCCTTACTTCCCGTTCCAGGATACTTGTAGATGAGAGCCCTCGCTAGTCATAACCACGCACACACTAGTCCGTAGTAATCAGTAAGGCATTGCCATAGCAAGTACACTGGGTAGATCTACCACAAACTCCAGCAGCGCTTCTTGACTTGAACCTGTTTGCTCCAGTGCATACCGATGTGTGTGTAGTGTGCTCGGATCATCCAGTCCAGAACATTATTCCAGCACCTGGATTTGTGTTTCGAATCTGTGCTACAGTACAGTGGCTATTCTTGACTGGAACCTTGCTGGACGCCTGAGCAGGGTCACACTCGCAGTCACAGGGTTACAGAGCCTTCGAGCAGTAGCATTGGTGGACCGCATCGCTGTTCCACGACCAACCGTAATTGCGCAGGCTGAACGCAGAGGGACCAAGAGGTGTAGACGGCCAAGAGGTGTGAGTCCACCTTGCCAGTCGCTAACAGACACGCCATAGTGCGCTGCCTGTTGGGAGTCCTGCTAGCTAGCTGTGGGTCACGCCGGAGCTGAGCTGCTGGCAAGATCTCTCGCGCTCGCTCTCCTTCCCGCGCTGTCTCCTTCTTCGCTTCTCCTCCAGCTCTGTCCGGGAACCGAGGAGGTTCGTGTGTGATGCGGTGACAGGGCGCTGCAGACTCATCTGTAGACTTGTAGTCTCCAGTTCTCACCTTCAACAGCAGACAGCTTGACGTGAGGGCGGTTCACACGAAGTATGAGGTGAGTTCTAGCGGCGTACACACGCAGGCAGGGCTGGGGGTGATCAATTTCACGGTGCTTGTGTGTGTGTGTGTGTGTGTGTGTGTGTGTGTGTTATGTGACCTTGCCATCACCTTTTGTCGAAAGGAGAAATGTGTCGCATGGCTGGAGGCCGAAACTCTTTGACATGGGACGTCCGATACGGCGATAGCGGGTAACGGTGTCTGTGAGCTGAAGCTGTCGCTCTCTTCTGTAGTACTAGCCCATATATATACTGTGGCCTTTATAGTGTTCTATGACCACTGAGTCACACTGAGTGTGACCATCCAAAAAGAGATTTTGTTCTTTTGCGGAGGAAGTAAAATTATGTACATGTAGATGCGAGGAAATCGCGATGTTGCACGCCGAAACTCGGCGAAAGCAGTTCGGCCACAGCTATTCGAGATGCATGTTGTCGAATACATGTGTTCGTGACACTTGGAGGTATTCGATAGCTAGCCCGGATTTGGTTTGGGTGCAGGTTGAACGAGCGAAGACAGGCGGATTTGTCACAACGGACCCGCTCTACGTCCATGCGGACAGGCCAGTACTGGCGGAGCCCAAGCTTTTGCTTTTCAGAGATGAATGCGTGTGTGTTATGTGCACAGACTCAGTCATGTGCGTGTGTGAAGGTGTGCTTGCACGCAGTTACACCGAGTTATCTTCCCAGGAAGCGGATAATCGCTCAGGCTCTTGTTCGTTCGGTAACCATGTTGCAAATGAGCCTGACTTCTGTACTTCTGTACTTCTTTGCGTGTATGCGATGTGTTTTCCGTTGGTGCTCGTTACTTGCTTGCTTGCATACAGCGAGCGGCAGACTGCCCAGGCGCAGGCGACTGTCCTGGTGTACGACGACAAAGTGAAGAAATGGACGCCAGCCCAGCAGCAGAACACGCCATCTGCAGTGCAGCTTTTCGTCAACGACTCGACGGCCCAGTCCAGAATCGTGGGCAGGAGGATGTCGGACATGCAGGTATGCGACCCAGCCAAACTCTTTGTTCAGTCTGCCCGCAAACATGACAAGATAGCAATGCGGTCGCTACCCAGTCACTCCAGAATATCCATGAGTACAAATTGCACTGACAAAATAGGCGTGCAGTTTGCAAACTCACAGTCTGTTACGTAACAGCTTCTCCGGTATGTACATGTATCTCTCTCCTTGTGTAGTACAGTACACAATCATACACAATCATGATGAACATGAAACACGCTGTGAGTGTGAGCTCAGTGCTCATTACATGCTAATTCACCAGGTACTGATGAGGGTGCACGGCAAGTCTGGTTTTGAAGATTTACACCGAATTCCAACGTTAGCCAGACATGCTCAGTGCATGGTGCCGAATCCTGCCCACCTAATCAATCGCACAGGCTGAACGCATCAGGTCATCTTGGGCACCCTGTAAGAAGACCTTAGGGTCTGTTGGGAATGCCCAAGTAAAATAATAAAATACAATACAATACAATACAATACAGATCAGGCCGGTGGACATGTACATTAACTAAAGTTTTCCTACTTTTGCACGCATACTGCACTCATACTCCAAGTTACACAGCTTCATGACTGAACATGCAGATACAAGTTCGCATGGGGCTGTATTTTTTCTCTCCAAAACTTGACCCCTGCGGCACGTACAAAACTGTGTATATTTCTTGAGCGGCGCTATACAAACATCCACAAGCTGGAGTTATCTACATGACTGTACATAGTCCATATGCAAGTTCAATTTACGTCCATACGTTATCTTTTTCTTCTACAAATGAGAGTCCTCCGGCTCGGTAGAGTGCTCAATATTCGTTGGAATAGAGCTATCTTACACAGGGCACAGAGCTATCTTACACAGGGCACAGAGCACCACGCATCATTCGTTGGTATTAATAGTTTCATGGCGCATAGGCAATCATCGGATCCTTCTTCGTCTAAGAATTTCCAGTAATAAGTTCCCGTCCCGCAGTTGACCATCGTAGTCCGTCAGACTTCAATTCACTGTGAGCACTAAAATGATAGCATACGATATTCATAAAGAATGCATTATACCGGTACTGACAAGTCCAGGGCCGTAGCAGCTGGTCCGGCTTTGGCTTTGGCCGGACCACAGAAGTGCCCAGAATGCAGGATGTTGCACCCTAATTTCACTTTTTTTTCCCGGGGGACACCCCCAGACCCCCTCCAGCCGAACCACCTCCAACGGCAGTGCTACACGCCTCTAGTCATAATACTAGAACTTCTCTAGAAGGTAGGATAATAAAAGCCGAAGAGGAGAGGCTAGCTAGAGTCAAAATCCACCTTCATCATAGTGTACAGGTCAGAACATGGACGTATACAGTAGAACACAAACTACTGTAAGACATGTAGATATAACGAGGAAGCAAATCTAACGTTTTAACGGATGACATTTCTTCGTTGTAATAAGATCCGTTGAGGCCGTACTGCTTCATATACTGTAAAAGCAGAAATTTTCGGTGGTGTTTTATTTTCGGTAACTTCGGTGCCGACAATTTTTACCGAAAATAAAACGCACCGAAAATTTCGGTACTACCGGTACTGTATACATTTAGTACTAGTACACTTACCTGGAAAACGGGTTTTACCGAAAATTTCCCTCTACCGAACCGCCGATTTTGGAGAATACCGAAAATATTACACCACCGAAAATTTCTGCTTTTACAGTAATATTGTGTGTGGATATGCCGGAATACTGCAAGATCGTTAACATACCTTCTCGTTAACCTACGAATTTTGGACAATCGTTAAATTTGTGACTCGTTATAATAACATGTCCTACAGTATCACAAACATGTCTCTAAGACAAATAATTCAGCCAGAAATACTAGTACATATCCACGGTAGTAGACAATCGCTGCAAGATGCGTTGATTTACTGGTGTGTGTGTGTGTGTGTGTGTGTGCGTGTGTGCGTGTGCGATAATGTGCGTTTGCGGGGATGTGTGCCGACGTACAATTCCTAGGTCACCGTCAATACACAGCTTTATAAAGGCATGGTGTTCAACGCCGCTTCTAAGACTTTCTATCAATGGAGAGATCCAAGGAACGTGTATGGCCTGAACTTTCAAGATCCGCAGGTTGCAGCAACCTTTGCCAGTGCCGTTGGAGACGCTCTGAAGCAACTGACAGGTGGTGGTAAGAGGACTGTCATTTGTCATTTGGTGTGCTTTAAAAGTAGCAGGCCTTGCTTGGTCACGGTGCTGTGAAGCCGGAGCTGTGCACGGCTGTGGGCTGTGGAGTTCTTGATACCCTGTGATTGTGAGCATGTCAGACTGAGTGCAGGCTTGGGTAAAGCATCATGGGTGCAGGCTTGGGTAAAGCATCATGGGTGCAGGCTTGGGTAAAGCATCATGGGTGCAGGCTTGGGTAAAGCATCATGGGTGCAGACCGTGTACACGGAACGGAGTGCATGGTGATGACGTGTATGACAGAGCCTCTACACAGCATGACACTCCAAGTTACAACAAAACCGTGCTCCATTTTGTCTACATTGTTACATGATGCTGAAGGATATGCTCTTGACATTGTTCTACTATAGGTGGACAGCAGCAGCAGCAGCAGCAGCCTCCACCACCGGCCAGGTCACAACCACCGGCACAGCCAGCACGTCAACAGGCTGCTCCGGCCGCGGCGCCACAACCACCGCCGCAGCAGCCACAGCGTGCCCCCGCGCCGCCAGCAGCACCCCCGGTCCCAGCCGCAGCGCCCACGCCACCCCCAGCTCCAGCCGGTCCACCTGCACCGCCTGCTCCAGGGCCAGGCGGTCCACCGGCACCTCCGCCTCAAGGACCACCTGTACCACCGCCCGGAGGTGGAGGTGGTGGCGGCGGCGGTGGTGGACCACCTCCACCACCGGGCCCCCCTCCACCGATGGCTAGTAATGGCCCGCCCGGACCTCCTCCACCACCGTCATTGTCTGGGAGTGGTGGTGGTGGTGGTGGACGTGGCGGTGGCAGCGGCAGTGGACTAGCCGGAGCTCTAGGAGCAGTCAAACTGAAGAAATCCGACACGCCTGTGAGTCCTCTTGGCAAGAAAGAAACTATTACTAACTCTTGTAGTTGCAACTACCCACTCTCAAAAATGTGTGCTTGAGCGCAAAGCAACCAGTCTGTGTTTACATAGGTGCTACCGGTATGACTTTATGTATGATTGCTGTGCTGTGTAGTGTGTGGCTTCAAGCATGGATGTATGCACACAATGCACTGCATGCTATGTAACACAGTGGAGTTGCAGAAAAACATGTACCACATCAAACTTGACACCTCAGTCTCATGTCGCAAGCCATGCAATTAGCTGATCATGGCCTGGCTTCGGTGCAGTAGGGTTTCAATGCATGTGCTGTGACAAACTCACTAGACTGATGTTCTGTATGTACGTATGTACCTTACTGAGACGTTTCCTAGGCAACCATGACCCTGACTAGTTGAGGAAGACCCCCTGAAGTTTTCTTGGGCTGCGTAAGCTGTGGCATGGTGAAGCTGATGATGCACTGGATATGTTACACTAGGTGAATCACTAGTACGTGTGTTGGTATATGCCGATGTCAAGGATTAATGTCATGGACTCATGATCCTCATGGATGATGACTGTCATGGAATGATGTCATGGATGATGTCATGGAATGATGTCATGGATGATGGACTTGTACTTCTTCTATAGGATGGAGGAGGAGGAGGTGGCGGCGGCGGTGGTGGCGGCGGCGGTGGCGGCGGCGGAGGTGGAGGAGGTGGTGGAGGAGGTGGAGGAGGTGATATGATGAGTGAGATGGCTAAAGCTCTCGCCCGGCGGTAAGCCAGCATATACTGACCTGCATATACCTGTGTATGCTGATCTGCATGTATCTGTGTATGCTACTAGTATACCTGAGAGATAATGTAGCAATACTGGAGTGGATATGTGCGCGGTGGGCTGTGTTAGCTCCTGGCTAAACAGCCCCCTTATGACTCGTAGAAGACAGGTTTTATAGTTTCTGAAGGGCCTAGTGTTATTATTACAGAAGATGTATGAAGTCAGGAATATGGCGTGTAGAACAAAACTTAGAGAAAGAGAAGAGGAGAACCACCGGAGCATGCGCTCTTCTAAACCTGATGGGTTCTAACAAGAGTAGATAAACAAGAGTTTGCAACTCCAGATCTCTCCTGCACAATCTGCAGATACCCCGCCCACGGCGGAATTTTTTGTTGACGTCACCCTTTTTCAGAGAAACGCGCAGTTTGCCGCAGAGCAGTGTGAGAGCACGTGCTGGGCACCGACCTTGTAGTGTAAAGCCCGGCCAAGGGTACGAGGGAAAACTTTCCGGAAGACTCGCAGCGCGTGCGTCGTCGAAAAGATTACGTCAACAAAAATTCCGCCGTGGGCCTACCCATCCGCGAGTTGCACACTCTTGTTTATCTACTCTTGGTTCTAATTACTATGGCAAAGAAACGGGAAATATGAATAGTGAGTACAGAGTATCTTGTACTGCATGGATGTATTCGTATAAGTACACTTGTTTACAGCTGCATCAACCGAACCGATTACCTTGCCGTAAACGGCTTTGGCGTGGCAACCTTTTTGTTCCATTTCTTCTCAAAGTACAGCATAGAATTGCTGACATGTGGACACTGGTGCAGGGCGCAATCCGATTTTATTGAGCAGCACTGTACATGTAAAAGTCGCTTATTGTACACATATAGGATTCATAGAAAGAAGAAAGGACAATTTAGATTAAAAAATAACAGTCCACCACGGTTTCCGATTTTCAACACTGGCAAAAACCGATTAATTTTGTTTTCAAGTCACTTTCGTTTCAATTTGTTAGTGCAAAGGCGCAAGCGAAGGCTTGTTCCAAACTAGAGCTTTGAAAAGATAGGGAGGCTATTTTGGGCACATGTGTTCTCAGTCGCTGGTGTGAAGTTAGTGACTGGCTCTCTGATCTTGGTACACCCATGCATGTACATGTGTGTGTGTATGTGTGCGTGTGTGTATGTGTGTGTGTATTTGTGTGCGTGTGTGTATGTGTGCGTGTGTATGTGTGCGTGAGTGTATGTGTGTGTGCGTGTGTGTGTGTGTGTGTGTGCGTGTGTGTGTGTATGTGTGTGTGTATGTGTGTGTGTGTGTGTGTGTGTGTGTGTGTGTGTATGTGTGTGTGTGCATGTGCATGTGTGTGTGTGTGTGTGTGTGTGTGTGTGTGTGTGTGTATGCCGGTGTGTGTGTGTCTCCTGTGTGTTGTTTGAATCACTGCTTGTAGGAAGAAAGCAACCAACGCTGGAGGTGAAGGTGGGCCGGAAAAGGTAGGCCACGGGCAGATCAGGGCAAAGTGTATTGGCACAATGCACAGTACACTACCCTGAGCATGCGCAGCATTATGGCACAATATCGCGAAGAGCACACAAACTCCCACTGGTGCCCCCTACACCTGGGCTAAATTTGATACTGCGCACCAATCAATGAGCCACACTGCTAAGGTCAATGATCTATTCGAGTAGACATGAGGTTAGCACTTCACTAGCACGTGACATCACACAGAAACGGCAGAACGGACAACCGGCTCACACTTACTTCTAGTTTTGTTTCCCTGCGTATTGTCAGCGTAGGCGATCTGCACTGCATTGATAATCTGACCAGATCATAGGCAGACAGTCCTGGGGACTCCATTCCCTGATCATCTGCAAAACTCAGTGCTACATGTACATGTATATCCCACTACTAATGCCACCCAATGCCACCCTACTAAGCCATGCAGTCGGGGCTGTCGTCATGGGTGCTGTGTTGAAAGATTCTAAGTTGCTGGCAAAGCACTGACACACTGACATGCTGTCCTGGAATGTTGTTTCCCTGCCGCACGGTCAGCGTGTTGTTAATGTGAGACCCTGTTCACTTTTGCCTATGCGTGCTATGTGTCACGGTGTGTGTGTGTGTGTGTGTGCGCACGCACGTTCGTGCGTGTGTGTGTGTGTGTTTGTGTGTGTGTGTGTTTGTGTGTGTGTGTGCATGTGTGTTTGTGTGTGTTTGTGTGTGTGTGTGCATATATATGCGTGTGTGCATGTGCGTGTGTGCGTGCATGTGCATGTGTGTGCATGTGTGTGTGTGTGTGTGTGTGTGTGTGTGTGTGTGTGTGTGTGTGTGTGTGTGTGTGTGTGTGTGTGTACATGCATGTGTGCGCGTGTGTACGTGTGTGCGTGTTTCTGTACTGTGGGTATCCATGCTGCAGAAAGTCCAGCAGCAGAATTCAGGTTAGTCATGCATGCAGGTTCAATCATGACTTTCTTCAAGCAAAATGAAAGTGAAATGATGTAATTTAGTACAAGTTAAGACCGGTACAAGACAGGTAAGGGAACAGGAAGCAGAAGAAGTGAAAGATAGAGGGGCGTGGGAATTCCAGGAAAAAAAAACAGCAAGCAAATTATATTTAAGTGGTGCTGTAGTGTTTACATAATGTATCGACTTTTCAGTCAAATCAGACGGCAAGAAGCGCGAGCTCCGATGTTCGGAGCAGACACTTTCTTGTATCGACTTTTGTCACACATATCAGCACCCACTGTGTGCACTGTCAGTACCCTCATCCGTTCCTGCAGTGTCTCGCGGCTAGAGACATGTGTGGGTTCCTTCCACCATCATCAGCACATACACTACATTTTCCATACTCAGTTTCCCTTCACTGTACCATACGCACTGACCTTGTAAGCATGCACACACACACACAAACAAACAAACACACACACGCGCGCGCATGCGTGCACACACACATAAACAGACACACACAAACATACATCCAGGCACACACACCATTGGCACTTTCTAGATATCATACTTACAAAGCGTTCCGGAGCTTTCCGGAACTCTGGATCAGTTGTTTGGAATATAGCAAGACGTAAATACTATAGATGTTGGGCTAGCAATGTTTTGTTAGGAAAAGGTGCAAACCGATGCTGCAACTGGATGAGAGACTTCTGAGCACACATGCATGATAACACGTCTTTGAGTAGTCGTTTGTATTTCTATGTGTTTTCCTGTTGGTGTGCAGTATCCAAAGATGCGCCAGACAGCAATGGGTAAGTCGGAGTGCGGATTCCAGCAAGCACTGCAGCAGCAGCAGCAGCAGCAGCAGCAGCAGCAGCAGCAGGGGCGTACGCCGCTCGCCTCCAGGAGTGGTTCCCATGCCAACTGATGAACCACCATTACACACAATTGAAATGCTGTTTTTCGTACCCCACAGAGTTTCTGCATATTCTCCTCAGACTGGGTGACATCCACAAGCTGCTGGACGATGTCATTGCTACGCATTTATGGTTTTAAAAGACTGAACGTTTCCCCGTTTTATGGATGTTTTGTTCAGTATGACGATTGCATGCAGTCTTGAAAGCTGCCTAAGTTTCGAATCATCTGGAGCAAACATCACACAGGGCAAGCAGAAGCCACCATTGCATGCCTGTCAAAAGACTATCCAGGGTAACTCCTCCAACAAGGATAGTTGAAAGCGGCGCTGTTTGCCATCCATCTGGATACGCACAGGAAATGAAATCCTTCGCCTGCGGTGGCGCACAATGATTGTCGATGACGGAAATCTTTTCCGTGTCCAGCAAATTTCGGGGGACTGGATTCCACTGTGGACGTCGACTTTCAGAATATCCCTTCCAACACACTCCCATGTCATTGAAGTAAGTTTTGGATGATCCAGCAGCTTCCAACAACGGTCGCTCTACAGCTTCGCCGACGATTTCTTCCTCAGCGCTGCTCGTTGCATGCATACTTCACTTGCACGTCAGGTGCGTCTGCATTCTCATCTATCGCTTGACCTTTGCCACTAGCACTGGCTACACACTTTGCCTGCAGCTCAAAATAGCTCTGAATAGAGCGCTGGCCCTCTGGATGTCGACTCTTCATTTTTCGAAAGCATCGTCAAAACACGACCAACTTTGTCAAAACAAACTCCAAAAGAAAATTTGACTCTGAGATCGAGGAATCAGGCGATGTAACTAGACTAGAGACTTTGTTGAACCCATCATGGGTTCAGGCATGGCCCAGTTCAGTAGATCTACGCTGTGTCCCACTCCCAGCTCCCACCTGGGCTAGTCACCGTCCTCGGACCGGCAGGCGGACTCCAGACATGCACTGCATGCACTTGCACTGTGAGTCTGTGAGCGCTGGGCCTGGATCAAAAAACTCTCTGTACCCATATCGAATTTGTTTTACTGGTTCCCGGGCATCCCGGGAACCGCCCTATGTACGCCCTGAGCAGCAGCAGCAGCAGCAGCAGCAGCAGCAGCAGCAGCAGCAGCAGCAGCAGCAGCAGACAACACTAGCCTCAGCCATGCAGACAAACCATCACGGGATGTCTTTTCCGACACAGCTTGTCCACAGTTGTTGGGTAGATACTAGATAGGAAGCGCACTGAGTCCATGCAGGTCATGTGTTTGTCTGTCCCAGCCCAAGCCCTGTGTTTAAAACCTGGGTTTTGGTGGACAGTTCTGAATAAGTCGTTTCCAACCAGCATACAGATGTAACCTATCATCTGAGCCGTACTGTCTCGTGTACGTGTGCTCTACAGTGGTACATGATATCTTCTATCGGACAGGTTTTGGGTGCTGCACTGCCTGAACACCACATACACTGGGATACAGGGTTCTAGCCAGGTCAAAATAGTATTGGGGGGGGGGGGGGGGCAGGGAAAACAGTTGCCCCGTAACCCATGATTTTTCCATTTTCAAAATAACCTGTCTTGCACTGCGAGATGCAACGTATTGGAGCAAACACCTGAGTTCACCCCAGACGAATGTGCCTTTACGAACCCTCCAGTACTGACTATCGACTGCATTTTCGTTGAATGGCATGAAAAAACACAAATATCGGAATATGAGTAGGGGCGCTCCCCCCCCCCCCTTGGCTAGAACCCAGGGATGTAGTACTGTACACACGTCTCTGCTCTATTCTCAGTTGAGGCTGATTTCATCTGCCTCTACTGCCTTTTGTTTCTACACTGTGACACTCTTAGGTCAAGGCCCGTCAAACCATCCGATGCTCGTGCTGCCTTTTCCAGGACGTCCTCACCCCCAGTTTCCTTCAACAAATCCGGCGCCGGATCCGGTGGGAGCAGCACGCTAGGACGGCGTGGTAGCTCGGTAACTCCAGGCGCGGCCGCTACTGCCGATGACTTGCAGAAACTCAAGCAGGTAAGCTGGCATGGCACGTAACCATGGCAAGTAGTATTGGATATGATGAGTAGAATGCATTCATGCTATTCGGTTCGGCTTCGTTTCCCTGTGATCAAGCTGCATTGGGAAGTTTTAATAGAGAAGAAAAAAGTACATGTACCATATTTTACCGGTTATAAGTCTACCCGCATGACCTAAAAAGTTAAAACGAACTAAAAAAGGGGCAGTCAACTCACAGTCAGGGCTTAGCCATTACTAGAGTCCTCCCAATTCAAGTTGCCCATGGGGGAACATATTTTTTGGCCACTTTAGGGGTCGTCCGTATTTTTCGAAAAATAAAAAAACACGTTCTCAGGCAAAAAGGGGGTGGGTGGTCGAGTGTGCTGGCGGAATTTAATTTTTTGATTTTTCGTACTTTTTTTTTTTTTTTTTTGCTCCAGTGACTTTCATACATTTGTTGCACTGATATGATATATAGCTGACTGTGTACTGTAGACGTAGTGTAGGATCGATTGTCGCAAACACCAGTATCTACTATGATATACATGACTTTTCATGTACTTGTAGTTGTAGGACGGTGCATGGCCGTGACGTCGGTAGACCTTCTACTCACTGTACATAGCTACTAGTACTTGACACAGGTGCAGTCTGAAAACATGGGGTCAGGAGTTCTTATTTTCGAGCTGGGCATCGGTAGAAATCAAAAAAATAATGGGAAAAATGGGGGTGGGTGGGTCAGAGGCAATTTTGCACGAGGACGGATTTTTTAATTAACCGGCCTAGGCCTGTGGGACTGCCCTATTCAAAATTTAATAATAATAATAATAATAATAATAGTTGATAAATATGGTGGTAAAGACACACCTGGCAATATGGCGGTAAACACACGCCTGCCCACACACGCTCTCTAGGCTGCAAAGTTCTGGCACAGAGCTCTCCTTCTCACCACCACCACCATCAGTTCGCGCCTGGCGCCTGGTCGATGCATGGCTGGTGGTATCCGGCATAGCAGGCTGGTACATCAAGTAGCGCATGGCACATAGATGATGACACAGCAACGACATAGCTCGATTGCGACGTACGTTTCGTCCCCGCTGGACTCATCAGGCAATCTTCTTCTTGGATGTCTTCATACGGAGCTTGACTCGGGAGAATGAAGTCGAAGACACCACTGCAGCTGTACTTATGGTTGATAAATATGGTGGTAAAGACACACCTGGCAATATGGCGGTAAACACACGCCTGCCCACACACGCTCTCTAGGCTGCAAAGTTCTGGCACAGAGCTCTCCTTCTCACCACCACCACCATCAGTTCGCGCCTGGCGCCTGGTCGATGCATGGCTGGTGGTATCCGGCATAGCAGGCTGGTACATCAAGTAGCGCATGGCACATAGATGATGACACAGCAACGACATAGCTCGATTGCGACGTACGTTTCGTCCCCGCTGGACTCATCAGGCAATCTTCTTCTTGGATGTCTTCATACGGAGCTTGACTCGGGAGAATGAAGTCGAAGACACCACTGCAGCTGTACTTATGGTTGATAAATATGGTGGTAAAGACACACCTGGCAATATGGCGGTAAACACACGCCTGCCCACACACGCTCTCTAGGCTGCAAAGTTCTGGCACAGAGCTCTCCTTCTCACCACCACCACCATCAGTTCGCGCCTGGCGCCTGGTCGATGCATGGCTGGTGGTATCCGGCATAGCAGGCTGGTACATCAAGTAGCGCATGGCACATAGATGATGACACAGCAACGACATAGCTCGATTGCGACGTACGTTTCGTCCCCGCTGGACTCATCAGGCAATCTTCTTCTTGGATGTCTTCATACGGAGCTTGACTCGGGAGAATGAAGTCGAAGACACCACTGCAATCAACCATAAGTACAGCTGCAGTGGTGTCTTCGACTTCATTCTCCCGAGTCAAGCTCCGTATGAAGACATCCAAGAAGAAGATTGCCTGATGAGTCCAGCGGGGACGAAACGTACGTCGCAATCGAGCTATGTCGTTGCTGTGTCATCATCTATGTGCCATGCGCTACTTGATGTACCAGCCTGCTATGCCGGATACCACCAGCCATGCATCGACCAGGCGCCAGGCGCGAACTGATGGTGGTGGTGGTGAGAAGGAGAGCTCTGTGCCAGAACTTTGCAGCCTAGAGAGCGTGTGTGGGCAGGCGTGTGTTTACCGCCATATTGCCAGGTGTGTCTTTACCACCATATTTATCAACCATAAGTACAGCTGCAGTGGTGTCTTCGACTTCATTCTCCCGAGTCAAGCTCCGTATGAAGACATCCAAGAAGAAGATTGCCTGATGAGTCCAGCGGGGACGAAACGTACGTCGCAATCGAGCTATGTCGTTGCTGTGTCATCATCTATGTGCCATGCGCTACTTGATGTACCAGCCTGCTATGCCGGATACCACCAGCCATGCATCGACCAGGCGCCAGGCGCGAACTGATGGTGGTGGTGGTGAGAAGGAGAGCTCTGTGCCAGAACTTTGCAGCCTAGAGAGCGTGTGTGGGCAGGCGTGTGTTTACCGCCATATTGCCAGGTGTGTCTTTACCACCATATTTATCAACCATAAGTACAGCTGCAGTGGTGTCTTCGACTTCATTCTCCCGAGTCAAGCTCCGTATGAAGACATCCAAGAAGAAGATTGCCTGATGAGTCCAGCGGGGACGAAACGTACGTCGCAATCGAGCTATGTCGTTGCTGTGTCATCATCTATGTGCCATGCGCTACTTGATGTACCAGCCTGCTATGCCGGATACCACCAGCCATGCATCGACCAGGCGCCAGGCGCGAACTGATGGTGGTGGTGGTGAGAAGGAGAGCTCTGTGCCAGAACTTTGCAGCCTAGAGAGCGTGTGTGGGCAGGCGTGTGTTTACCGCCATATTGCCAGGTGTGTCTTTACCACCATATTTATCAACCATAAGTACAGCTGCAGTGGTGTCTTCGACTTCATTCTCCCGAGTCAAGCTCCGTATGAAGACATCCAAGAAGAAGATTGCCTGATGAGTCCAGCGGGGACGAAACGTACGTCGCAATCGAGCTATGTCGTTGCTGTGTCATCATCTATGTGCCATGCGCTACTTGATGTACCAGCCTGCTATGCCGGATACCACCAGCCATGCATCGACCAGGCGCCAGGCGCGAACTGATGGTGGTGGTGGTGAGAAGGAGAGCTCTGTGCCAGAACTTTGCAGCCTAGAGAGCGTGTGTGGGCAGGCGTGTGTTTACCGCCATATTGCCAGGTGTGTCTTTACCACCATATTTATCAACCATAAGTACAGCTGCAGTGGTGTCTTCGACTTCATTCTCCCGAATAATAATAATAATAATAATAATAATAATAATAATAACCGGGAAATTGTGGCCCCAAGTGCAGGGGGTTGACTTATAACCTGTCAAATAAAGTACTAGTACTTATCTTGGAGGTCAAGATCAGGGGCACTGGACTGAGACATTTTGCAAGATGATACAGTGTTGGATTTCTGCTGCCTGCTTGCTCTACACTTTGTGTTTGACTTGTTCTCTTCTCTTCTCGAACTCAACATTGCAGGAGATAATGGCTGAAGTGAAGAAGGAAATACAAAGTGCTAAAGAAGAGATCCTTCAAGGTAAGCGCCAGCCCACCCGCAGTGCGGATCCGTGCCTCAGCTCTACACTGTGGTATCCTGTTCTCCGGGCTGCTGAGTATGCATGCAGGTTGCGAGTGATCCGACACGCTGGGGTGGACATAGGCACATGATTCCAGCTGGACCGTCTGCATGCTCTACAGAGTGCAGTGCGTATCAGCAAATCCATTGAGCCGCGCCACACAGCACACACTGGATCACTGTGACCCAGTCCGGCTACACTACATAGAGCAGGGCTACTACCGTGTATAACCGTGATTACATCCAGCTATAGCGTGACTGAGATCATCAGCCTATAGGGCACCTACCAGACCGGTCTGCGTACATTCTGGCTTTGCATCCTCCTCGTCTTCACCAATCATGCATAATGCACGCATACTATCGGATATATTTGGCTGGAGGTATAGCTGAGCTTGCTCCTAGACTGAGAGCAATCCTCCAATATGCCATACCAGTCACACCACCACCACCAACCCCTGCCGCCGCCGCCACCTCCACCCTGCACCAGCGCCATCACCAGCAACTTGGAAAATACAGTAATAGTAGATTTGTGTCGGTTTACATCTATATATGGGTTGGGACTGAACACAAACCTATACTGAGTATACAGACGGCCTCTAGTGAATTCTCTCTAGGCTCTGTGTTGCCGTATATTTCCGCTTTTAAAAGGTGCATGCACGCATTTGTGTGTGTGTGTGTGTGTATAATTTTGTATGTGACATGTATGTGCACTGCGTGCATGTGTATAACTAGAGTGTCCTGCGTGTCCTGTGTGTCCCGGTGCATGTGGGTATGTGTGTGCATTGCCCTACATGTGGGTATGTGTGTGCATTGCCTTGCATGTGGGTATGTGTGTGCATTGCCTTGCAGCTATTATGGGCTTGCGGAACTAACAAGTGATCGTCACCAGCGCACGCGCACGCACGCAGCCGGAGGTTGCGAGGTTTGCAACAGTGGCCGTGAGTCCTTCAAGTGCCAGCACACCCATAGTTTCTCAACCCGGTGGCGGGATGTTACAGAAACGAATGCTGCCGGCAACTCACTCAACTCACCGTTTGACTGCAAGCTACAAGTTGCCGTTGCCTTGCCGTTCCACATCCGCCAATGCTCCGTACCCCAATTCGGGCTGTGCAGTGGCACCATGCCACATGCATGCCCATTTTTTATCATTGCAAGTCCACTGCATCACCTCAGCAGTACATGCCCCCATCACCTCAGCAGTACATGCCCCCATCACCTCAGCAGTACATGCCCCCGCCGTGCGTTATGCTAGTCTTTAACTTATGCTTGAACGATGCTTGCGTTAGATTTTGACGACAATTTTCTCTACTCAATGTGATTCTGTGTCCCGCTCAATGATTGTCTTGTCACATAATTGTTCCCGTCTTGCCTACCCGGGGTTTTGTATTCTTAGGTTTTTCATAATTGTAGTCGTGTGCCGCGGGGTGGAGCTGTGCTTATTGCAACTCGCTGATTCCTTTGTTATCGTCGCCATCATGTGCCACGTCTGCGGCACCCGCCAGTGACGTGACTATTACCATCATAGTAAAGCCTCTCTTTTTGTGTCTCAACAGTTACAGACTGCAAATACTTGCCCTCTAGTACGCATACGGAGTATCTTCTGCGACTGTCTGTTCATAATCCAGCCATACTTCATCACTGTCTGATCATAATGCATTCTTCTCGTGTGATTGCTCACATAGTCAAATGCTTCTTTTTGACCGTGTACTGACCTGTGCAGACTCTTCAGAATATGAACTGTAGGAGCTTGAGTCAGTGCTCCAGTGACTGGCTCTTGGGCCGGGTCGTCTGCCCCATTTTGTACCTACTCAAGTACAGTAAAACCTGTGACTAGCGACCACCCCTTGGGGCCAGAGAAAGCGGTATTCAGTGGCAGGTGGTCCATAGTTAGAGGTTTGCACCGCACCACCATATATGAATGTGAGACCGTCCGTACCTGGCAAAGTGGTCTGTAGTACCAGCCTGGTCGCTAGTCATGGTGGTCTGTGGTACCAGCCTGGTCGCTAGTCATGGTGGTCTGTAGTACCAGCCTGGTCGCTAGTCATGGTGGTCTGTAGTACCAGCCTGGTCGCTAGTCATGGTGGTCTGTAGTACCAGCCTGGTCGCTAGTCATGGTGGTCTGTAGTACCAGCCTGGTCGCTAGTCATGGTGGTCTGTAGTACCAGCCTGGTCGCTAGTCACGGTGGTCTTTAGTTACAGGTTTTACTGTATACTTTCCCTCATGTATACATTGAAGTACACACAGCATAGACGAACTTACTTATTAGTATATTAGTAGACCAAACAAATCGGGTCACTGGCCTCTATGGCTGCTGCAGTGCCGCATTTGAAGTTGTGCGTGTTTGTCCTCCAGAAGACCACCTTCCCGGATCCATGCAATATTCATGTCGTGGTCTGCTTGTATTGATAGAGGCCAGCCGCCTGAGCTCCACAGTTCTCCAGTTTGTTTACCTGATGCACCCTCCCCCAGGCTTTGTGCAAGCAACCTTGGATCACCACATGTCCTTAAAAAAAGATCACGGTTCGCGAAAGACTCGGCTAGAGGCCGAGCTGTTTCGCATCCGTAGGAACTCCACCATCATTCAAGGACATGTCCTTTTAATCATGAAATTGAAATTCAATTGTACATGTAAATAGAAGCGCAGCGAGGTGGTAAAGGGATGCTTCCAACAGCGCAAGCAGCAAGGAAACTAATCCTTCGCGTTAATAAAACTCCCTACAACTTAGTCAACACATTCGAAATTGAAACCCATTTGACTACACTACAGGGAATATCGGATACTTGTGATCAGTATGCAAGCTATCAGAAAAGATGATAGCAAACACGAATAAAACAGCGTATGTGTAGCACTCGTGAGATACACTCGTGAGATTCGGCCAGGGAACTAAGGGCTGCTGTAGTGCTCCCGTCCGGCTATCATAGCTGTGTGAAGCAATCTCTGAAAGGCATGTTAGGCGGCAAGCTGAGCAGATGTACAGGTGAAAACGACGGTAAAGCAAATAGAACTTGAAAACAATAATTAAAATAATGATGATGACCGGCAGTAGGCGTGTGCCTGGTCACCAAACGGTGGCGGCTGCGGCACTCGGCCAGTCGGGGAGCTAAATAAGCAGCAAAACCATCAAGCATCACTGCGAGAAGAGCTGCAAGGAGTGTGCGGCGTGAGAGGAGAGCAGGTACTAAATTTTCAACCACCTAGGTTTTGCCGTCGTCGCGGCGGCCACTGACGGCCGACTACCACCGACAAACACGTGTTGGTATATGTAAAATATGACAATACACATCTCGTCACTGATATCTACATTCACGGCCTACTTCTCCACCTGGATGTTCCTGCCCTTAGGATCGTCAAAGCGGTCAGGTGTTTCCATGCTGATGAAGATGATGGACGCCATGAAGAGGACGAAGAACAGGAAGATGGCAACAATAATTCCCATCCACGTCTGGCCGGTGAAGTAGCCCACGCAGTCGATAGGAGCGCTAAACGTAATGTTATGTCCCGGCTTGGTCTCGAGAGTGAATGCCTGTATTTGCAAGCCGGCGATATGCAGGTCGGCTTCAAGACTGCTGGCGTTGCCGCAACCAGTGCGATTGAGAGCTTCCAGCGAGTTAGCATACTGACGGGTGCGCCAGTACGTTCCGTTGCTGAGAACCTGCTCCCACTGACGCTTCGGTTGACAGCTGAATGAGAAGCGCTGAGGGGCAATGACCCAGTCGACCTCATGCTGCGGGATGTAGCATGGCAAGGTATCATCGACTGGTTGCCCAGCCATTTGCACCCTGATAACACTCAACTCCCAGTAGAACGAGTTGTTAGCAGACCTTGCAGTTTTGTTGCTCAGCCGCCCATTGGTCTTGGAGAACACAAAGTGAAGAGTAGCCGATAGTCCGCCATCAGACGCAGTAACAAGGGCCGTCACACTCGTGCTCTGTAGCTTCTCATCATCGCAGCCGATCAGCTGGTTCTCAGGAACGGCAGATGTGAAGTTTAACGTGGTGTTAAGACGCCTGAAGTTCAGCTGGATGTGTGTGAACGACAGCAAGACGTCCGGAGGAACAGAGCCGTTCACAGCATTGGCACAATAGTACGCAAAGATTACGCGCTGTTCCTCGTCAGTATCTGCTGCTGCCGCCACCGTCTCTGCAGCAAGCAGATGGCGCGCAGGAGCATGCACGGATTCGTCGACAGCAGCGGTGTCGTGCGAGGACGAGAGAAGAAGCGTGTGGTGATCGGTGGGTAGTCGGCTGCGCAGGGCACCGACCAGCGTGTCACATCTCTTCAGGTAGGCCATGCGATCCAGCTGCTCCGAGCTGCTCGGAACGTGCACAATCCACAGCGAGCTGGTGCCCTCGGTGTGTTCCAGCGTTGCCAGGTCGTCCTCACTGCGTGCATCCACGCTCTGCACACTGACGTCACCATGCTCAGCAAGGTACGACTCTAGCGATTCACTCAGCGACGTACTGGTGAGTGTAGTGACGCTGGGCACGACAGCTTGCGATCTGGAATCGTCCAGCATGCTCTTCAGGTTACTGAACACTCCTCCTGAGGACTTTTCGCCATCGTACGCATCGCCGAATAGAGAGAAATCTTGAAGCTTCAAATCATCAATGGCTACAAATGTGAAGACATGGGATTTTTCGCGAGGCAATCTAGCCACTAGCTCCTCGGCAGACACTCCTTTCCCGCTACGATAATCCAGCTGCAAATCTAACGACGAAGACACCACCACTGGTTGCACGGCACCGTGTGCTATCCTTGCCGCCCATAGGCAGGCAATGGCAGCAGCCAGAAGAAGAGTTTGTCCCCTCGCCATTTCTCTTCTCCCCTGAGCAACGAACGCATGCGCTCTCAACTGTGAACAGGTGAAAACGGTCGCGATCGCGGCGAGCTTTTGTGCGTATCCGTGCAGTGCATGAACTGCATGCACTGATCTGATGAAGGCCACGCTCTGATCTGACGTCCTTGAACGGCTTGATCCAAGCTAGCCTGTAGCCTAGCGCCTACAGACCTACACTCCGCTACATGTACAGTACAGGCCAGGGACGACCAACAGGCTACACTGAATGACTTGTACTAGTATTGTAGATCTACACTGACTGTGCAGTGTACTGCACCGCCAAGGCAAGAGGCAAGACAGTAGTTCACCGACAGTCGACACATCATTTTCTACGTTGAAAGACTTGCACTGATCAGTGACAGTGCTAGCCGGCCATAGCTGCTGTTCTTGCGCACATGTGAGTTCGCTGGGATCACATGTCCGCTGTCGTCATGGTCATGTGCAATGATCTGATCATGATGTGAGTTTTTTTGTAGTCGTCAAAAAATCCTTGTGCGCGTGCATGATCGTGACGTCATGACGTCGCTTTGATTTTGAGATTTTTATCCATAATTATAATCTGATAATCTGACAATCAATTATTTTGATTTGTTTCGAACACACAATCATTCATGAAGAAAGTCAAAGATTCTGAGAAGTCTTTTCGCTTCGTTCAAATCGTTGACATTGACAGCAATTCCACATGTACATGTAGGTGTGTAGTGCTTGGCATTGTTATCTTCGGTGTTGTGCTTTCAGTGGAGCAGCCGTAGTGAAGCCTGGCTTGGGAACACTGTACAGAAGCGTGCACTATTACGAAGTCCTGTTTTTTATTTATTAGAATGGCAGCTTGATCACATTTCTTGGTAGTAGAAGAAGATAGCAACCCCAAACGAGAAGGCAGTTATGAATGTGCCCCGTGCTTGATAGTTTGGCTGCGTCATATCACGCGAAATGGCTTTCCAGCATGTGCAAACTGTGTACGCCGGCGGGGCTGGCCCGTTTTCCACCACTGCCGTTACATTCGACCCTCTGGAGGAGTTAGTTTGGACAGCGAACACAGGAGTGAGTATAGGTACCTAGTTGACAACTATTAGTAAGCATGCTTCAGAAATCATCAGAAAATCATCACTTTCTTCTCTACAAAATTTATTTCAAATATCAAATTCTACTCCCTGTCACAATTTTAATCTGTAAAAATGACGGTCAACTCAGCTCTAATAGCACACGCTCTATCTAGCTGTAAACAGTGCTGTCACTTCTTGCAAATCCATATTGTCTCATCTCCTCTCATCACTATTATCATTATCATCAGTTCGCGCCTTGCGTCTAGTTGATGGGTGGCAAGAGAACTACAGAGAGAACGGGATTGAGCGTGTGTGTTGGCTGCCACCCTACAGACTATATAGAGCTGCATGTGGAGCCATCAAACCCTTATCCCGTCAGTTATAAGTAACTTAAAAAAGTTAATTGCTGAGCCACTTCTAGTGAGTTCCCTCGACAGAATTTTAATACTCACCAACACTACACAGGCCCTGCTCCCGCATGGTGTGCCAATGTCGCTGTTGTTGTTTGCCAGTTGAATGTGCCCTCGTTTCAAGATTAGATTGTGCTCCGTCATGTTGCAGGACATCTTGCAAACGACAAAACAGTTCTGGATGACAACTGACCTTAACACACATCATGGGATTGACTAATTCAGCTGAAGATATAGGTAAACAGATGATCATCAGGCAGAGCGATCAAGCGACAGAGCCACGAGCGTTTCTAGGAAATCGTTCAAGCTGATTGCAGGAGAGCCATGGTCTAGACTAGTGGGTGTAGACGTGACGTGGATGGCTGCGTTGATAGTATTATTTCCTGCTACTACTGCTGCTATTTATTGTGTAGGGTTACATTTCATCACACCACAGTACTGAACTGGCAAAGTATTCATCTTATGCGACCACTCATGAACCAGTGGCTGGCTTGGCAGCTCTGGCATCAGGAATCCTCTCCGTGGGTAGCAATGCTGTTCGTCTGCACAGTCGGCAGGGTGTTTGCCACTATACTGTCAAGTAAGTGTGCTGTCATCTTGTGTGTGTGTGTGTGTGTGTGTGTGTGTGTGTGTGCGTGTGCGTGCGTGCGTGTGTGTGGATATGGGTATGACTCTACTACCGTATGAGTCAATCTACCATATCTCAGTTATTTCTTGTCCTGAGAATCAAATGAAAGGTTCCGCGGGCATCAGTAAACTCCAGGCTGTGAGATTGAAAAGTGCCTAAGAGCCATGACCTATCCGGAGATATCATACGTGCCAATTACGCTACTTGCCAGTTTATTTGTAGTTTTCAGCCTTTTTAAAAGCGACATTTTGGTTTTTTTAAGTGTCAGCTATGTCACAAGGCACGTTTCCTGACTTGGGCGATGGCATAGTGATGATCTGTACAAAGCTATTCTGAGTCCTACGCTGGAGGAGAGTGAAATGGCTGCTTGCGGATCTGGCACCGGATCTGGCACCATGACGACTTTGGTGAGTAGCAGTGATTTATGACAACCAGGATGTTAGGTGTGTGGGCTCTTTCGATTCCCCGTGAAAAGGCCTTTCCAGAAAGACCGATCTTGTAGGAATTGAGCACCCGGAACTGAAGCTTTGATTTTTGAAGTGTTTGTGTTGCAATTGCTGGACTGTGCCACTTGGTGTCCCGTGGTGGTAAAGTGGCTAAACACGGCAACACACACATATCTAACATGTGTACAGTAAAACCTGGCTTAAACGACCTCTGCTCTGGTTTTACCGACCGTTTTTCCATGCACGGACAGTTCTTCACAGAAACTGCACCGGGTGCAGCGACCACCTGCCTTGCGCGACCAGCGACCGACTTTCAGTTTGCCAAGTGTCATATCTGACCTGCATACAGCGATCAAAACTAGCCAAAAGTGCTATCCTGGCTGGCAGGAAGGGTTGACTGCAACAGGGTTGAAGTGCGCTCAGAAGCAAGAGCACGCAGTCAACAAAGTGACAAGTGAAAGTACAGGGTGCGCTGAATCCACTTGAGTGAGGTGTGAAACTCATGGTGTGCTCCCACATCAGCGAAACCCATTTCAGCGCGGTTGACACCAGCGCCCCTCTTATGAGCATTCCCCACTTTGCACAGCACTCAATTCGGCATGACCCGAATCGAATGTCTCCTGTTACAGCGTGACTCAAATACTCGATTCAACTCGACTGATTTCAACGCAAACTCACAATCTCTCGAGGCAGAGAATATTAAAACAAAATAACATGTTACGCTACTGAAGCAAGTTGTATTTAACACCGTTGAGGAACTCCCGCACAGTGATCTCTTGATCTTCCAGCCTGCGCTGCAGCGTTGCGACTCGGGCGTTCAGTTGCGCGTATTTTTGTACACTCCGGTGTGTCTGTTGGCCCACTGCTATTTGGTGAAGAGCAGTTTCCGAAGATGCTCGCTCTTTTTGCAGCCCTTAAATGAGTCGCCACAAGTCAGGATGGTAGCATCCAACTACTGAGGCGAACCGTGTGCCATCCTTCGACGTGGTTGTTCGTTCGGGTTCCAAGATGTCGGACGTTCCGTCGAGACAATGGACACCCTTTGCTCCAATTCGTTGCAAAGTACTGAAACTTTACGTCAAGTAATAGCGAATTCTGGTGCTGTTCTTGTCCGAGATTGTGGAATTCTTGGACGACTTGATCAGTGGGAAGAAATGCTAATGCAGCTAATGACCGGATCAAATCTCGGACTTCCTGATTTGTCTGACACTGATATTGGTGACCTGATGCTTGGATTTTTCTGTAGAGCGCCTCTTGTCCACCCGGTACGCGAATCCATTCTGGATTACTGCGCGGCCTCCCGATTGCGTTACGGTCAATAACTCTGACTCTATGTCTTCAATGTTCTCAGCAGCCATTTTCGACGAATTGAGATCGAGATGTTGGAAATGGGCCGAAATGAGCCGGCTATATTGGGTCATGTGTGAAATAGGTTGCGCTATGTTAGGACAAACCTGAAATGGGGCGCGCTGAACTAAGAGTGCTGAAATGACGGTCGGCTGATATTGGTGGCGCTGAACTGGGTGGCAATCAGACTCATGGGTGCTGTGCGTGCACGAACGTGTTCTATGCTCCACACTAGGGGTGAAACGGTTCCATGTTTTTCATGTTCGGGTACCCGAATGCCAACATTGTTTCCCACGGTTCGGGTATCGGTTCCATGCACTCTTTTCTCCAGACCGACAAAATGCGTTCGCGACAATTATTTTTTAGAAAAAACATTTTTACGAGCAAGGATGAGATATCGGAGAGTCCAAGTGCGAAGAAGATAATGACCATGATGACCAGAGAACTCTTTGGAAGAGTGGGGATCGTAAGGTAAGACATTTAAAATCTTGAGTAGACTTGACGTGTACATGTATTTGTACAAGAACGAGATTTTTCGAGTTTCGGTTCGAAATTTGACGGAACGGGTACCCGAATCTTTTCGGCTGGCGGTTCCAAAACCGGTTCCTTACCCGAACCGTTTCACCCCTACTCCACACCTGTCAATATGAGTACATGGAAGTACATGTATGTACACGATCCGATATGCCGTGAATGTACGGGACCTGGTTCTAAAGACCACCTGGGTTTAACGGCCGTTTTGCTTGCACCGTGAGGTGTGAGGTGTGAGGTGGTCGCATACACCAGGTTTTACTGTAGATATACAATAGTCGCTCTTCTTTGCCTTTCTTGTCATCTCCTTGTGGATTTGCAGGAATGAAAACTTTGAGCACTTGGTTTGTCTAACTGAGTCTCAAAGTGGTTCAGCAGCATGGGTTAGCGGTGGACAGAGCATTTCAGCCCTGGATATCCCCACCGGGACTATCACTAACACGGTATGCCTGTGTGTGTGCGTGTGCGTGTGTGTACACCTGTATGTACACATGTGTGTGTGTGTGTGTGTGTGTGTGTGTGTGTACACATGTGTGTGTGTGTGTATGTGTATGTGTATGTGTGTGTGTGTGTGTGTGTGTGTGTGTGTGTGTGTGTGTACACATGTGTGCGTGTGTGCGTGTGTGTGGGTGTGTGTATGTGTGTGTGTGTGGGTGTGTGGGTGGGTGTGTGTACACATGTGTGCATATGTGTGTGTGTACACATGTGTGCACCCGCACGAAATGCAACGTACGGGTGCAGTGCGCACCTGGAGTAATTGATCTGTCGCCGCATTTTTGTGGTGTGAGCTGAATAAACACAAGAATTGAAAAAATGAGTGGGTTAATGTATGTATGTGTCTGTCTGTCTGTGTCTGTATGTGCCCGTGTGTTTATGTGTGTGTGTGTCTCTCTCTCTATATGTGCATGTGTGTTTATATGCAGGGAGCGTGTTCAAGTGATCATATCGTTCTCCGCAACAACCAGGATCGCTTCATCTGCGCTGGAACTAGCTCTGGCAAGGTACTAGCACTACTTGTACTACTGGACCACCGTACATATCTACCTACACCTGTACTGTACTGTAGAGTGCCTACTGCATTGCAAACAGATGCTAGTTAGTGCAGAGCATTGGCAGTGTTTTCTTCAAGTAGAGAATGGACATACACACAGTATAGATAGACCATTGACAGCACTAGTACAGTGCGTATCGGTTATAGCGTGGTCGTGTAAAAGATTATACTAGGGACCTTTCGCATCTGCTGCGAATCGAATGCGAAACGAAAGTTTGATTCAGCTCTTCCTCGTTTCGTTGAAAACAGATTCAGGTTTCGCAAGTCGTCATGCAAATGTCCATGGCAACTACGAATACGGCTGGTGGCTTGGCGTACGCATGTTTACACACACGTGCATGGATCATGGAATCAAGGGAAAAATGTGTACGTGGCAAAAAAATGTGTACCTGACGGATTCGGAGCGCGCCACGAATGAAGAGGCTTCTATTCGTGAATACGAGCTCTCCGCAGGGACGAATCCTCGAACCCAGATGACGAATCAGCATTCGTTTCGTATCCGTACGCGTGGTGCGAAAGGTCCCTATTGCCTACAAGAATGAACTCTCATGTTTTCATAATCATAACATGGGTTTCAAGTGCACATTTATTCTTACAGGCAATTTTATCGTACAGTAGAATATAATTATCGGTCCTAGGAATGGACTTTGTGTAGCAAAACATACCAGATTAGTACAAAGTGTCTCGCCTGTAGTAATAACATCCGTCCACTGCAGTTCTGATCGGACTCTCGTTGCGTCGTAGTGCTGCAGGTTCGACTGTTGTGGTCATGTAACTCATGGTGGATAGCCACATGGTAAGCCTATGGGACTATGACCAGCCGCATGCACAGTAGCACTACATGTAGGATGATCTGCCTGCCTCTGTGCACATGCATATGATATGCCACACTTGATTTATCGTGTGTAAGAAATATCGGAAATAAGAATAGAAGGTCGTTTTTCAAACACCCACGCTGTAACCGATACCTACTGTACTTGTAATAGTGCCCTTTACCTACCGGTACATTGCTCAGGCTGGACTGCTGACACCTGAGTGATTAGCGTTACTATTCTGACAGCAAGTTTGCTGCTTGACAAAGATATGTCTAGCCTTCCCTGGCACAAGTGCTAAACTCATTTGTCATGTTCAAAGAATGTCTTGGCATCACTCCACTGGTATGATGGTCTTCTGTGTGTGTGTGTGTGTGTGTGTGTGTGTGTGTGTGTGCACGTGTGTATGGTTGTGTGTATGTGTGTGTGTGTGTGTGCACATGTGTGTATGTGTGTTTGTGTGTGTGTGTGTGTGTGTGTGTGTGTGTGTGTGTGTGTGTGTGTGTGTGTGCACGTGTGTGTGTTTTCATGTGTGTTTGGTATCAGGTGATACTGCATGACCCGTCCAGTCTGCGGGTCGTGCACAGTATGGATCCGCACGGCGGAACCATCAATGACATTGATGTTGCTGGCAACACTCTAGTGACCTGTGGCTGGTCCCAGCGGTGAGTCACCATGATGTCATCATCTGGAATTTTATGACATCATTGTCATAATTATTCCTAATGCAGCATTATTGATTCATCAACCTTAGTTCATTGGCTATGCAGCTTCTGCAATTGCACAGTATCTGCAGTCATCCATGTCCAAGTTGTGTGATGATCGATTGCTGTATTTTCCGCTCTCACAGCTCATGGAGCACCACTGTATAATACCCCCCCCCGACCTCTTAGAGGGTGCTCACACTGCAACCAAAACATGCATCCATGCCCTCAAGCGACCAAGTAATGCACGGCAACAGCAGAACGCGACGTAAATGCTGCGGTTTCGTTTCGAACCTTAACTGCAGCCTTCGAGTGGTGCCACGTCTTGGCCCGTGCAGTTGCATGGAAACGAAACTTGTTTCCAATCACACCAGGAGGCCTGAATTCGACATGCGTGATCATCAGGGTGGAATATTTGAATTAGTCGGGCACACAGGCAAGGAAACAAGCTGCCCCTCGTGAAGAAGAATAAATCAGCATCTGTCAGTTTTGGAGGTCGAGTGTCAACTGAATATTTTTTTTCCGGTTTTTGATGAAGTGATAGTGTTCACTGCCTGTAAAAACAATTTTGAAAAGCCAACATTTTTCAAAACGTCACAACAGTTTTCCCTGGCATCTTTAGACTCTGTGAGCACAATCATCATGTGTCTGTGTAATGCTGTCGCTTGACGTGCACCCTTTGTCGTAGTGTGAGCACACCCGTAGATGGATTTCACAGTACATGTAATCAGTAGAATTATGTGGTGTGTGCGTGCGTGCGTGTGTGTACGGCATGGTTCTAGCCAGGTAATAATA